CTATTAGCTCGTCCCGGTAATGATGTCCTTACTGAAGAAATAAAATATTCATTAAATAAGTTAGCAATTTTTTCATGTTCAGAAACAAGAAGTCCATTTACTGAGATTTGTGAATTGTTATTAAATGTTTTATTGTTACTTTCACCTGTCACTGACTTAACTTGCACCCATGACTCCTGCAGGCTCTCTCCGGTGAAAGTGAAAGTGAAACTTTCTGCTGAGCTCCTAACACTTCTCACTCAGTGAAGCTCTTTTCATATTCAAAATACCTTTCAGGAAATGTATTTTCAGATGCCAAGTAAACTGCATCATGGCAGCCCCGCACTGAAATAGGTGAGACAGAAGCGGAAGGTGGTTCTTAAAGAGACAGAGGCCAATTTCAAGGCGTTTAGAAGAGGAAGTGATGAGAAGATAAATTTTTCTATTTAAAAATAAAAACAGCATTTTAATAACATTTAAAGGTGGCAGATACTTTATTATGGTATAGTGTTTAAATATATGCCTGAGAAACACATAATATTGCCCCTTTAATATGAAAATAAATTTTAAGCTCCTGAATCAATGCAGCAAAATGAACAATTTAAAAGGTAAACAATAATACTTGTTCCTTTACATAATGCAGTGTTTCCCCTACAGTTACTGGGCAATATTACCCACCCCCAAACTCACCCCCCACCCCGGATGTCCGACCTCACAGCTGTTGTCTTTGAGGACCTGTGGCCCCCAGAGCAATTCAGCTGAAAAGCCCTGCACTAGAAGTTTAGTTTTTCCCAGCTCCTTTGAATGCAGAGAAGCTCACGCCCCTCTCCCATTTCCTGGAAACCTCGGCAGACCACCACCTCCCACCCTGCTCCTCCAGAAAACTGCAGTGGGCTTTGTGTTTGTGTTAAGAGATGGGATATCATAACAAATATCAAACAAGCCCTGGCTCTGTTACTGTGCTGCACTTCTCCCATTGGGCCCGTGTTCCCCGTTTCACTCAGCTTGTGTGAACGCTTCTGTATGAAACAGAAAAAAACAAAAAGGACGGCTCACGACTCAGCTCTCATAGCTTGTGTTAAAGAGCCACAGAATAAATTAGTTTGGTTCATGAACGTCGCATGTTTAGGTTTCA